AGTACTATCTTACTTCTCCCAGATCATGGCCCCATAAGTTTTATTTTCTACTTAAACAATAAGCCAGTTTTCTTCTTTAATAATTTTACTCTGTAATACAATAATTGGATTCTTGATTCTACATCAAAGATAAATACCCTATAGGATATTATTCAATCACTGACCTTTCATCGACCTATAGTAAATTCTATTACTAACAGCATAAGATTGTAACGCTAAAAATATATTTGCCCTTTGAGGAATTTTGATGGCCCAATAAACCTCTTCAGGCAATGATGTTTGTTTTGGGGGTGAAAATTAATGTAGAGGAAATTTCAGAGTACTTTTCCTGGCTACCTGATCCTAGTTCACCTGAGAATACTCAATTATAAAAGCATCTATTAGCTTGAGACAAAATGCACAGTAGTAACCAGATTGTGTAGATTATATTTTCACTGCTCTTAGATCCTCAAACTAGCCCTGGCAGATAAAAGGACATCACTGGGGCTGGGAAGGTGGCTCAGTGGTAGAGTGCTTGCCTTGCATGCATGAAGCCATGGGTTTGATTCCTCAGCACCACATAAGCAGAAAAAGCTGGAAGTGGCGCTCCGGCTCAAGTGGTAGAGTGCTAGCCTTGAGCTGAAGAGCTGAGAGACAGCGCCCAGGCCCAGAGTTCAGGCCCCACAACAGGCAAAAAAAAAAAAAAAAAAAAAAAAGACATCACTGTGTTTTCACTAGGATTTTTTTCTGCAACAAAACAGCATTTAGAAACTGGATACCAGTGGTCCACACTTGTAATCTTAGCTACTCAGGAGGCAGAGACCTGGAAGATGATCTGAAGCTATTAACCAGCAAAATGCTATACTGGAGGCAGAGCTCAAGTGTCAGCAAGAAGTAAACAAGAAATCTGAGTGAGAGCTGGAGGCCAAGTTAAAGCTCCATTACCAACACACACACACACACACACACACACACGGACATACACACACTTGCACACATGTGTAAACACATACGTGCTCACATACACACTTATTTACTCAGTAGGAATAGAAATGTCAAATGATGTTAAAAGACCCATGATTACAAAATGTCTTAGTGATTGTTTAAATTGTGTGTGTGTGTTTGCACTACTAGATTATTTCTAGAGAAGGGAAACATATAATCATATTTTAAACATGCTTTTACAATCCACTTACTTTGAACACTCTAAGTGGAAACTGCAACACTACTGAAACAACTTAAGAAACACTTTGCCTCTTTAAGTCAAAGTCATTGCTTTACAACTTTTAGTTCATGTTCGTAGATGAGGGAAACTGTCACTCAAAGACCAATTGTTGAAGAATACAGGTGGCTCACAGCTGCAATCCTGGCTACCCAGGAGGCTGAAAACTGAAGATTGTGGTTTGATGGTAGCCTTGGCAGGCAAGTCCACGAGACTCTTATCTCCAATTAACCAAAAAAGCTGGACATGTAAGTGTGGATAAAATGGCAGAGCACCCACCTTGAGTGACAAAGCTAAGGGACAGTAGCCAGATACTATACCTTGTACCAGCACAAAAACAAAACCCCATCTGTTTATGAACAGTGTTTCTTCTACCTCTATTTTTATTCTTAAAATTATATATTTACATATATTTAAGGTGTATGGATAATACTTTGATACACATACTGAACAGAATACTACTATCAAGCTAATTGACACATTCACCTTTGCAAATTGTTTCAAGGACATAATATACCATCGTTAATTCAAATCACCTTGCTATTAGATCTCCAGATTTTTATTTTTTAATTATCTTTAAGTAGTTGTACAAAAGAGTTGCCATTTAACAAAGCAGTTTATGAATACAATATGTCTTGATCAATGTCACCCCTTTCAACTCCCCTACCCACCCTTCCTTTACTCTTAATTTTGTATGATATACATTGGATTGTTGAGTGCATTTCCATCCCCCCCTCTTCATTTGTCTACCCGTTTCCTCTTTTTCTTTGTTTTTTCTCTTTTTGTATCCCCTTTCCTCTTGACCCCGTACCACACTTTTCAAATACTTGCTTCCTGGTGTTTTGTTTTGTTGAACTTTGATTTGGGCTTTCTAAAGATTTACACTATTGGAGAGCTCCCTTGAATCTACTATATTTCAGTTAATACATTTTTATATACTTGTATACCACTCAAAGTATTTACTTATGAGTTTGTAAGCTAAATATAGCTTCAACATATAAGGAAAACATGGATCCTTTGTTTCTCTGGGTCTGACTTACTTCACCTAACATAATTTTTTCTAAGTCCTATTTTTTTTCACAAATAGTACAATATTTTTTCTAATTGATAAGTAGAATTCCATTGTGTATATAACACATATAAAACACATCACATTTTTTTTTTGATCCATTCATTCCTTGAGGGTCATCTGGACTGGTTTATATCTTGGCTATGGTGAATAGTGCTGCTATAAACATGGTTGTGCTGCCTTTACTGAATCCTGGTTGGCAATATTTTGGGTCAATGCCCAGGAGAATTACTGTTTAATTTCTTAAGGAATCTTCACATTGCATTCCAGAGTGGATGGACAAGATTATATAATCCTGTAACTAAAAGAAACTATGGATTCCTCCCCCAAGCTAATAGATCTGATTCAAAACTTTGGTAAAAGTAGCAGGGTATAAAAATAAACCCACAAACTCAGTACCTTTAGGTATGCCTCAAAAAACTTAAAATAATTAGGAATTAATGTAAACAAAGATGTGAAGAATTTCTGCAGTGAAAAGTTAAGTTAATTGAAAAAGGAAACTGAAAAAAAAAGATTTAAGGAAATGGAAAGACCTTACATGCTCCTGGACTGGGAGAATTAACATTGTGAAAATGGCAATATTTCCCAAAGCAATCTACAATTTCAATGCAAAATCCATCAAAACCCAACATCATTCTTCAATGAAGTAGAGAAAACAATCCAAGAATTCATACGGAATAAAAAAAAATACCCCAAATAGCAAAAGCAATGCTTAGTAGGCAGAATAGTGCTAGAGGAATTACAATACTAAACTCCAAACTCTACCACAGAGCCATAGTAATGAAAACAGCTTGGTGCTGGCACAAAAACAGGCCTGAAGACCAATGGAACAGAACAAAAGACCCAGAAATAAACCCACAGATGTACAGCCATTTAATATTCGGCAATGTTGTGTCACCAATCCCCTTAAGCCCAACTTCCATCTTTTAAAGAATTGTGCAGAATAAAACATATAAACACATAATTAATAGTAAATTATAAAAATATAGCAAGAATTATTTCTTTCCTTCTTGAAGAAAAGAACATGGCAGTAAAGACAGGCAGTCACAAAAACTGGCTTGGGATGTCTAATACAGACATTAACTAGAGGTATAGGCTCATCTACTATAGAGACTGGCTCTTTATTAGATAGGTAATTTTTAAATATTTTCTCTCAATCCACAGATTCCATTTTCACTTTGTTGAATGTTTCCTTTTCTGCATAGAAATCAAAGCATCCAACTTTGTCCTTCTTGTCTAAGATTGTCTTGGGTATGTAGGGTCTTTATGTTTCTTCACAAATATTAAAATTGGTTTTCGATTCCTGTGAAAAATAGAAGTTGGTAATTTTGATAGAGATTATATTGAATCTTTAGGTAATTTTGCACAGTAAGGGAGTACGAGGGTTAGGGAACTCTAGTCTGATGTTCATATTCATCTCACAATAACACAAGTCTCTTGGTGCATTTTTGTGTTCCATCTTTACCTTTGTGTTTAGCCACTTTGTATCATTCCTTCACCCTATATGAATACATGCAAACTACTTCATATACTATTAGGAAAATATGCAATTTTTTGAAAAATATGAAAATATGTGTGTGTCTTAAATACAGACATTGGAGGTTTTTTGTTACCTCATTGGAGTGTTCTTGTTATTCGTGTACATTTTTCCCTCCAAGTAGATGACACTTTCTCATACAGTGTTCCTACCCACAAGGTATTAAGAAGACTGTTAAGAATCTGTTCTGGTATCAGGAAACCTGCACCCTAGGCGTCCAGCCCTGGAAGCCGTTCTGTGAAGGACCTTATACAAGTCATTTAACCACTCTGTACATACCTATGAATCTCTAGCACTGAAGGGAATTAAGTGGTTTGAAGGAATTGTTCTCTCTTGTCCTCTGAAGTGCTATGGATTTAATTAAAAGACAGCCTGTCTACATGGAATATCAATATTTGGCTTTCATTCTGTCCTCAAGCTAATTTAAGTTACTTGTCAAAACGCATTCTTTGTTACTTGACAGATGCCTTATGCCTTTTCAGATACTATATTTTATAAAAGTGTTAAATATCATTGCAGTAAAGCAGATAATACCTAAAGGATGAAGGAAACAATCTGACACCATTTCATTGTGCAATACATTTTTATTTTCCTTTTACCTTTGCAGTCATCTTTGAGTAATCGTTGTGTAAACAATAGAATGGAATGAAATTACATTAAATTGTATGCAAATGGCTCTAGAACACCTTAACAATTATGACAAGGCAATTATAAATAACTTTTTTCCTTAGTAATATATATATATATATGTATATATATATATATATATTTGCTTTTTAAAGTACATTAAAGAGCTGCCATATCTAGGGTTAGCTAGGAAGAGCAATGTACCATCCTGGAAGCCCGTTCCCCTGAAAATTTAGAGTCCAATTTTGGAAGTTCTAAGGTTTACTAGTTTTATAATAGATATAGCCAAGCAAAGGGCTTTTGGGGATGGAAGTATTTATTCTGGAAACATTATTTGATTTTTAATCTTTGAGTTAATGCACAACTCTTTCCATCATTTTCGCTCTACCTGGGAATTCTGAAGAATTTCAAGTAACACTAAGCTTTGGGTATTTTCAAGTTTATCACCTTTGCAATAACAAATCCTATCACTTTAGGAGAACCAAATCAGAGGTGTGTACGTGTGTGTGTGTGTGTGTGTGTGTGTGTGTGTGTGTGTGTGTGTGTGTGTGTGTGTGTGTGTGTGTGTGTGTCTATCTATCTATCTATATATATCTCAAACAAACAGAATGACAAAAAAATCTTTTTTTAAATAGCATTCTAAATGTTCCAATGAAGCAGAACTTACATATGCCACCTTATGTAGAGGAAATTTTAGATCTGAGACTATTTCAGAGTAAAGCAGCCTCAGGCACATTCTTAATATGAAAGTTTGCAAGGCACCTCCCTCTCCCAAGAGACAAGCAGATTGTGGGGTTGGATTTTTTTAGGCAAACAAACCAAAAGGATAGGCATCCAAATTCCTAATTCAATCAGTTCAAAAATTAGAAGTTACAAATACTCCAAAGATAGACCTGAAAGTTTTTGTTTAAGTAAGAAGAGATTAACTGCAAGAAGCATATAATCAAAAAACTGTTTTCTTATAGCTAAGGTGTATAATGCATAAATATATGAAAAATAAAATTCACAGTCAGTTTTAAAACTAGAATTCAAGTTTGGCTAATAAATCTTAATTTTATAAGTATATTATTTTCTAAATACAACATAAAAGAGGCAGTACTGTCAGATGTACAATTAAAGTATCATAACAGAAACACCAACAATGAAAGAAGAAATAGGCTTCTGATAGAAAATTCCTTTTGTTGCCAATAAATAGGACCACCTGAGTGTACTGCAGACTCCTTTCACTTAAGGGCTATCCGAATTGATTGCTAAGAATATTAAATAGCTTTTGGAAAAAATCAGCAACAGTCGTGCAGCTGTGGCATTTGCTTGTTCTCGTCTTGTGGATTGCTAGAGAATAAAGCAGAACTCAGAGTGTTGTAAGTTTTAAAAAATTATTTTTTTATCCCATTTCATTGAAGCCAGCCTCTTCACAATCTTCTGATTTTGATGGGAATTGGGAGTGAGGGGTGGAAGGAGGCAGGTAGGAGTGGGAAGGGAGGGGGCCACAACAGATTAGGGCAATGGCAGGGGACATACATCAGCTCACACTCAGCTGAGCAAACCCAATCAGCTTCACCTCATCAGGAATCTCCGACCCATCACAGCCAGAAGCCTGAGAAAGGAAAAGAAAAAAATTCAGTGCTCGCAGGTGCTGCTTTCTAGAAACGTGTTCATGTGATGGTAGATTCAACTAAGCCACTATCTTCTATTGCAAGAGAGACCTGAAGAATCATTCCTTGAGCTCGGCACAGATGGCTCAGGCCTGTAATCCTAGCTATTCAGGAGGCTGAGATCTGAGGATTGAGGTTTGAAGTCAAAAATCACAGAAAAAACTCAAAGTAGTGCTGTGACTCAAATGGTAGAGCGCTAGCCTTGAGCAAAAGGAACTCACGACAGCGCGTAGGCCTAGAGTTCAAGCCCAAAGCCTAGTTTAAAAAAAAGAAAAGAATCAGTCCTTTGAATGACTATGCAGTGCTGACTGTTGTTGGCATTAGTCCTTGTGCCATCAAGCACCTGTTACTCACTAAAGCAACACCATGTTAGGAAGCCACATTTGAATATTCACTGATGCAACACAAACAACTCATCTTAAATATTCTTTCAAATGATATCCTCTGAGAAATAACTTAAAAAAGAATATTGCAAAAGCAAGAATAAGAGATGGGCTAAGCCACTCAAAGATGACTGAATTTTTCACCCCTATCACCTGCCGTTTAAAACTGGTGAGTGGAAAAGCAAGTGGTTAGCAAGAACTAGAAAGTCTATTTATGGACAAGTGCTACTTTAGGTACAAGGACCTAGTTTTTCAGGGAAAGGTAGTTGCTACATTTGATTGTGTTTGGGGTTTGGGCCCCGAGTGATGCCATTAGAACCTTTAAGAGATGGGGCTAGTGGGAGGCCTTAAGTCATTGGGACTGTTCCTTTAAAGTAAGAGCCTATTTCTCTCTCCCATTCGCTTCCCAGCTATGAGGTGTGTTCTGTTCTGCCTTGCACCCTGGGCACAAAGCAGCAGCAGGAACCTGATCATGGACTGCAACCTCCAGAACTATGAGCCAAAAATGTATCTTTTTTTTTTTTTTTGTGAAAACACTGTACAGAGGGGTTACAATTACATGGGCAAGATAATGAGTCCATTTCTTATCAAGCATTGTAGCCTCCTCCTTTGTTTCCCCTTTCCATCCCTTCCCATCCTCTCCCTCCCCCCCCCCCCCCCCACACCAAAGTTGTAAAGTTAGTTTTCGACATAATGACTTGTACTTCTCATTGTTGCAATGGGTCCACCTGTATCCCTAAATGATTTGTTTTTCCCCTTCCCCTCCACAAATTATACCAACATCAAATACAGTGAAAGCAGGGGTTATACTGTGGGGGAGGGACATACAAAGCAACAAAGAAATAATCTTATAAATGTGTTAGAAACAATCGCATGAAAAAAGAAAACATTTGAATACATATCTTAGGGTTCATTTCCCTAACATCACCTTATCTGACCTTTTCTGCTTGACTCAGACATATACTAGATATTGCAAATAAGGGAAACCATGGGACCTATGTGTCTTTGGGCCTGGCTTACTTCACTTAATATAATTTTTTCCAAGCCTTTCCATTTCCTAACAAATGGGGCAATGTCATTCTTTCTGATGGAGGCATAGAATTCCATTGTGTATATATACCACATTTTCTTGATCCATTCATCTACTGAGGAGCATCTGGGTTGGTTCCATATCTTAGCTATAGTAAATAGTGCTGCAATAAACATAGTCGTGCTAGTAGCCTTAGTGTGGTCTTGTTTGTAAACATTTGTGTAAATGCCCAAAAGTGGGATTGCTGGGTCATAGGGGAGCTCTATGTGGAGTCTTTTGAGGAACCTCCATACTACTTTCCAAAGTGGTTGAACAAGTTTATACTCCCACCAACAATGCAGTAAGGTTCCCTTCTGTCCACATCCCCTCCAGCATCTGTTGTTTTTAGAGTTCTTGATTTTAGCCATTCTAACTGGAGTGAGGTGGTGTCTCAATATTGTTTTGATTTGCACAAAATGCATCTTTTTATAAGATGATTACCTCAGATATGTTTGTTACAATAGAGGAAATCAGACTAACATAGTATTGAAACAAAATTCTTTTCCACTTACAAATTTGCTTATAATCTTTTAGGACACATTAATAGCCAAAGTTAAAAGTGTTTTGAGTACTTTATATTTCTCTTCAAAATCTTAAGGTGTTGGAAAAAAAAGCCATTGCCTTCCAATTCTTTCACTGGTCGTAATTCATAAGTCATCTTCAGTTCCTTTGTCACCTATGTCTTGTTTTTACAGACAGACAGACACACACACACACACACACACACACACACACACCTCAGATATCATTCTAAACTAGCTCTTCACCCTATAGTCAAAATAGGAGATTAAATGAGTATCACAAAAAAGGGATAAAAATTTAACCAACAGCTAATTACCAAGGAATCATACAAAACTTTTCTAGGTTATTTTCTGCTGAGTTATTGCCATAAATATTAGTTTCCCATGGAAAGTGGCCCCGTCAATCACCACCATTAATTTCACACACATAGCACAGCTTGTATGTTCAGGATGTTCAGAAAGTAGACCAGCCTTTACCAAGTCTAGAATTAACAAAGCAACTAACTGAAACATATTTTAGACATTTAAGACAAGTATTACATGTAAGTTCTTATGCAAGAATATCAATAGTCTAAAGAGTAGGAATATCAGACAAATATTAAAGATTTTAATATTCTACTTTGTGCCTGTCCAGTGGTACCTCCCCAGTTTTCCTTCACAGATAAGCTCCTTAGTGAAACACAATGGTCACTACTGGTATAAGATCCCAGATCAGAGATGCAAGATCAGAGATGCTTCCTTAGTGTTCACTTAGAACATGCAAGTACAGCACAGCAGGCATTAGCCATACTGACACTAGAATATTTAGTCACATCCCAACCTAATCTCTCATTCTAATCCCCTAACCTCTCCCTTCTTTGTTCCTGGGTAGCTCTTGCTAACCTCACTTACTCAACTAAATAGTGGTGGTAAGAAGATGAGTGACAAGCTTCTGAGGACTAACTACTGCTGTTATGGGTGGCATGAAGGTCAGACTGGTAAGTGTGGTATGGTAATGAAGATACCAGGAAATTCACATAACTAGGAATAAGAGCAAAATATTCAGCTATTAAGCTGACCAGAAACAAGAGAAATTCAGAATCTTTTTTGTGAGGAGTAGTAGAAATGGGCTTTATAGGGAATGTGGATTACAGGGCTCTGAGTCTCTGGCACGCATGTTTCCTGGTAAGCCTGGGGGCTTCAAGGCAGTTCAGGCCCTCCTGCCTTCTACTCTCCCTGTATCTCTCATTGTCTCTCAGTCATAACACACAAAGGAAGACAAAAGGGAAACCCTTTTGAATTTCCTTATACTTTTAAAAATTACTAAGGACTTCCAACTGCTCATGTATGTGTGGGTTATATTTATTACATTGACTCAAAAATTAAAACTGAGAAAATTTTAAAATATTTTAACATTGTTAAAAGCATGTATATGTATATTACTGGTATGGATTTAATCAACTCAGGGCTTCCTACTTGTTTCGGCTTGCTCAGCTGGTGCTCTGCTACCTGAGCTATTTGCTAGATAACTGAAAATAGTCTCACTGAAATGTCTACCCTGAATGCTCTGAACTGCTTTCTTCAGAATCTCAGCCTCCTGAGTAGCTAGATTAGTAAGTTTGGCCCATTGGCACCCAGCTGGTTAAAAAATTAAAAAATATAATAACCATTATATTAAAAATACAAAGCATGTATACTTAGGTTATATTTATTATACTATTTTAGAAGTTAAAATACAAAAGTAAAAATTATTTATTGCAGGCTGGGAAGGTAGCTCAGTGGTAGAGCGCTTGCCTTGCATGCCTGAGGCCCTGGGTTCGATTCCTCAGCACCACATAAGCAAAAAGAAAAAAAACGGAAGTGGTGCTGTGGCTCAAGTGGTAGAGCGCTAGCCTTGAGCTGAAGAGCTGAGGGACAGCATCCAGGCCCAGAGTTCAGGCCCCACGACCGGACCCCCCCCCCCAAAAAAAAATTATTTATTGCAGTACTCTTACCAAAAAAGTAACAAAAACCCTTAGAGGATTAACATTGAATTTCATTTTTGCAAATCTCTAGTGTCTTGAAAATAGCTACCTGACTTCCGTATTTATTCTACAGCTTCATGTTGCTTTCCCAAAAGTACCTAAGGAAAATTAGCCTCTCAGACAAATGTAGTTAAAAAGGGGAACAGTATTTCAGTAGTATTTTTCTAAGTAGTCGTGGATACAACTTGCTACCATCCCCAAACTTTCCAAGTGGTAGTTTCTTAAAGGTTATTTGCAATGTGAAAGCTGAAACCAAGAGCACTGAACTTTTCATTCTCCGTCACATTAAAATCCATTGGTCCACTTTGCCCTTTGAATGGATCTTTTACCTGTGTGTGATAGTTAAGCATCATTGAGCTTTGCAGATCTTCCAAAGGTTGACATATTTCATAATACAATATGAAAGTTTCATTCTAATAAATCATATTCATTAGTATTTCCCATTACCAACTTCACCAGAAAAATCTTTTAGTATTAGGGGACTATTGAACTTAAAGAGGCTATTATGAGTTTTCCTCGAGTTTTACTCAAAAGCTCCAACTTATTATATTGAATACAAATACAGTGTTTTTAACTGTAAAGATTACTTTGTTCATTTGAAAAAAGTGTGCTAAATACTTGAGTTTAAAAACAGGAGTTTGTCAACTATTCTAGGCAGTAAAAATCACTTTTCATTGCAAAAAAAAAATAGTCAGGCGTACAGTTAGTTTCAAAAGGGCTTTTCCTAGAGACTACCACTGTACTTTAGTATATTGAAGAAGTGATTCCTGTTTCATCACACAGATGTTAGAAGGATATGTCCACAAATTGAGATTGAATGAAAATGAAATATGACTTGTCTCATGAGCAAAGTTCTCAAGTGAAACTGGCTGCATTTATACCGAGTAAGTAATGACCACTAGCATAGTCTGATGCCTCTGCCCTATCTGTGTCAACAGAGGTTTGACACCAATAGCAACACAGAAGGAAAGGCATTATCTTCCTATGATAGTATCCAAAATCAGCTAGAAGGGTCTTAGGGGAACCTCAGAAGTCCAAAACCCATACTTTGTAAACCCAGGCTCCTAAGTGAAAATATTGTCTCAGAACACACCACTCTGGCATGTTGACTGTTCTAAGTTAATGTGCCTTCCAGACGGTACATGGAATGTACAGCAACCCAAATTACCTGGTAGAAGGTGTTCTCTCTCTGCCTAGAAGATACATTTGTTGTCAGAGGTGGGGAGTCAAAGCCCCAAGAAATCTGTACAGTTGAACCTTGTTAATAACTAAGTTTTATGTTCCTAGTCATGTCCTCACAATGTGCTGTGCTTGGTCCAACTCCATATATAAGTCCAGCTTCAATTTGCTCAACTCTATAATTGTTTCTTTGGTATTTATCTCCTTATGCAAATTCCCATGTTGTGTAAAACATTAAATAAACTTGTATACCTTTCACTTCTTTTCCCTGCTTCCTTTCACCTCTCCTTTTCTTTTCTTATGCATGATTCTGAGGACTAAACTCAGGGCCTTGCACTTGTTAGGCAAGTGCTCTCCCACTGACCTAAATCCTCAACTTCTCCCTTTCTTAGGCAGGGTTTTGTTATAGCCCAGTCTTGCCTCAAATTCTCTATCCTCCTACATCTGTTTTCCAAGTACTGGGATTACAGGTATGTACCATCATGCCATGATTGTCAATTTAACTCATAGGACCTATGAAAAATTCTTATGAGGCAGAGGTGAATTGTTCCTCTACTATAAAAGGAAAATGTGCACATTCTCAGAGATTTAGCAGGACAGTACATGATGTCATGCATGTTATCATTTAAGTATACACTCTCGTTTCTAAACCTCCCTGCCCCACCCCCGGCCTGACAGGCTTGTGCCTGTGGAGGCAGTGAAGATGTTGCTAAGCAACCATCCAAGGATTCTCTCAACCCCAAATGTGGGTGCAGTTTGGTATCAGTCGGAGAATTTGAAAACTAATACTAATGCCCTTTGGTTTGTGATTTTGAATGAGAGTGTGGCAAAGCCACAGAGATCCTTTGAGCTTCTCTGGTAATTCTAAGGGGCTGCGTTTGACAACCCCTATGGTACTCATGCTTCCAGAATGGGAAGCTCCTAGTTTTCTCGCTTTTGCCTTTTCAGAGAGCTTTTTAGAAGAGATTGCTGTGCCTCAGCCTTGGAGGCTCTGATTCCTTGAACCTGAAATGAGGCCCTAGCATTTACATTATAGCAAATCTCCAGTCTCCAGGAAAAGCTGACACTATGATCTGTGGACACTTGGAACACCACTGGCATAGCTGGAACAGGAGGAAATAGGGAGGCTGAACAAGCAGTGCCTCTTTTACTGTTGGTCCACCCTTATCCCTCTTCAGCAGGGGAGAAAGTTGAAACTCCCAGGTAGTTGTGTCCAGTTCAGCCTTGACTTCCCCTGTACCTCAGGATATGATGATTTAGTAAGGCAACATCCAAGTGTGCCTAAGCTTAGCACCTCTACAAATAAGTCCTTTATCAATAATTGCCAAAATGCTTGTGAAATCCTTAATTGCAACACATATGATGTCATTAAATATTAGCAACTGAAATCTACACCATGTGTATGCATACCAATTGGATATTCATTATATGTACTTAAATTTGTATTCTTTCAAAGGCAAATTAAATATAAAATATTTCATATTTTTACTAATGTAATTTCAAAAATTTCACATTGAGAGCAGCAGGATTCATCTATACTACAAAACTGCAAGCATGAAACTTAACAATTATCTTGAGAGTATTAATAAAAACCTGTCTTCATAAAAACTGGACGGCAATATTGCTATCTAAATTCAAAGCCATGTAATACTAGAGCTGAAATGACCAACAAGCCTGAACCACTTTACTAAAAGTGGCCACGCCAGCAATAGACATCATATCTATTATCCTATATGCCAAACCGGGCCAATGAGCCCATTGAACGAAAAAAAAAGCAAATGCACTTCTTTATAAAAGCCACATCCTTGTCCTTGCCCTTTGGGCTATTATTTTTATGCAAGCAGATATAAAAGATAAGGGCAAGCATCTTTCCAAACTTGAACCAGACATAAGAGGAAAAAGATCAAAGACATTGTTATCTATAAATTGAATGCTAAACACTTAAATCTCCTAGATGTGGTCAAAATTCCCCAAACCCAGGTCTCACAATAAGCAATTAAATCAGGGTGCCTGATGAAGGACCCTGGCCCTGGGGATTGTTGTGTTTTAAAGTGTTCCCATAATCATCTGAGCAAAGCCACAATGCAGGGAGCTGAAGAACCACCATAACAAGATACTGCTGCCCTTCTGACGATTTTTAAGCCCCTGACATTCTCCTTTAAAAGCAATGAAACCTTTGAGATTAAATCACGATAAACAGCTGGGAGATGAAAAGACCGTGTGTTGCTGCTGCAGCAGCTTATGAGGAAAAACACTGCGGAAATACTTTGATCTTTTCTTCTTCAATAAAATAACTAAATTGATGAATGAAAGCAAATGCATTTGGATTTCTGCAGTTTTTATCTGGATGTTAGTGGCCTGCAGAAGATTAGGCCAAAAATCAGTTTAAATTAGCTCTGTCAAGTGAGTTTCAACCTGGCTGGCTGCTGATAACAACAAAGAAGTCGCTCAGGCTTTAACACAGCCTCGACAGAGAGTTAAGTGACAGAAATAGAAGGTCATTCTTAAGTTTGACTTTATTATGTGTGTGTGTGTGTGTGTGAAAGAAAAAGCCATCAACTTCCACTTACTGAGAATAATATATTATTTCATTGTGTAGCTGTAGCAGAAAGGAACATGTGTGTGAACTTATTCCTAGATCCTTTCATGCAGGACTCCATTAGTCGATCTTCAAGGTACAAAGGAGACTCAGTCTCAGCCAATGGAATTGCATTCAGTCATCCAAAGGAGGAACTCAAAAGGGAAACATGGACTCTGCAATAGCCCACAGCTGAGTTTGTAGCTTCTCCTGTGTGATCCTGGGCAAACTGATCCCCATCCTGAGGGCTCCCAAGGCAGAAAGAGACCTGCTATCAGAGACAAAGCAGGGAGGCGGATCTAAAGAAAGGACTCTGCAGTGGATTTGAGGGGTAGAGGTTGTAGGAATGCACAATAGGAAGCTACTAATGCTTTTGGAGAACTTGGGGACTGTAGAAAGATTATGTTGGCTATAGCTACAGTGTGGTACACAAAACTGTTGACACTGGCCAGTTTCTGAAGAAGATAGTAACTTGTTCAGGGGATGGAAGAAGAGATAGAAAGTTGAGAAAGATTGAGGAAACTAAAAAAAATAAACAAAAAGCAAAAACAAAACCAAAAAAAACAGATTGGAGGAAAGATGACAATGTCACATTATTCTCACTGGTTTTCCTAAAGATGATGTCATAGCGGCTTTTAGAAAATCTTCAGTGTGAGGAAATGGCTATGGCTACTTTTCTTGTATGTAGCAAAGCAAATTCAGACACAACTGGACTAAGCCAGCATGGAGGTTTCAAATGCTTATCTCTGTCTACATGTCTAAAATAACAAACATGTTCTGAAGATGATATATACAAATACAACAGGTTTGTAAACCTGCACTTGAATTAGAAATGGAAGATACAAACAACAGTCTTGTCCCAATCTGAAGAGGAATTTGGCAATTTCTTTGTTCAGCACTCTTATCTGAATAAAATATGCTTTTACTATCAAAAAAATGTGAAGTTCTCCATATACATTCTTAGTGTTTTTTAAAACTCTCTCACACAGATTCACTCTCTGAAATTAGATGAGCAGCAAGTCCCAGAAAGTTAATTAGCATCAGGCTCACATTTACTGTAACTAATCATTTAGTATTTTTGGCCACCCACATTTTCCATTTAATTTCACGAGAAACCAAAAAAGGCAGATCATCAATATATGTTGTAGACAGCAAAGTATTAGTCATCTAGATCTTAAATTGTCATGGCATTCTGACTGGCCCATGATAAGATTCATTTATAATTCTAAAATGAACCATTTGTTCAGCCTTAATGTACTGTTTGCTAAGACTTCCAGGAAAACAGTCACCTTTGACTGTCTACACTTCTCCATCTCTAGCTGTGATCAGTTCCTAATGGCTTCATAGTATTCTGTCTCTGTGGCTACTCAGTATTTAGATTTAAAAGCTACTGGTGCATAAAAACTGGTTTTAAAAAAAGGTGCTCTACCAAAACCTGTTACTGTGATTTGAAATGTGGAGATAAAATGCTATGTCTTTGTTCACTAGCCTTTGGTGTGCTGTTCTGCAATTGCTTCCAATTACCTAGAGCACTTTTGCAACAATCAGCTTCTATTTTTTAAAAGTTAAAACAACTTGGCTTTCACCTCAGGAAAGCCTTAGTAAGAGCACTGCTTTCAATAGGGCTTAATTTTGTCTATGTGGTCAGGTTGCCACACAAAGTTAAAGCAAAATGGGACATACAGGCTTTGAGATTCTCATGGCCACTCTTAGTCGAAGATGACACCGGAGAGAGAAGAAGTGAGGCTTACAACAGAAGACATTTCCAGCCATGCTCAGAACACATCCCAAATGTTGTAGAATCAAACAATGAATGTAGTAACTGATCATCAAGGAAAACAACAACAGAAGTGCAGAGTAGGTCATTAAACTATATTATTATCTCTATCTGGCAAGAATATGGCAAAACACTGTCTTCTTTCTATAACTTTCTACTTACCAACTTAAATGTCAATGTTTTTAAAGCTTTGGGATCATCTACAATCTTCTGTAAATTAGCAGCCACTGTAAAATACAAACAGAGAGAAATAGTGTTCATAATTACTTCCAATAACATTTGATATTCACATCAATGATTGAAAAATTTGACTAATGATGCAATAAACTGCAAAATCATTTCCTTCACAGACATTACAAAGTCCATATAAATGACCAAATTACTTTCATACAGATATTTTCCACAACCATTTATATCACTTCAACAGTCTTGTATCTGTGAACATCTGAATTAATCACTGTATGTCAACCCCACATTTCATGTAATAAAATTTGAAATCACTTTCTAATGCAAAGTAGAAATGATGGCAGCTCCCAGAGTCTCAACGACTACTTTTTTAAACTATAACAACAAAAACTTCTGAAACACTCAGCTAGAAATTTATTAACCAGGAGAGGGCAGTATGAAACAAAGAAGAGATATTGCAAAAGAACTTTCAATAGGAAATAACAGGTCAGCACAATCAAACTCATGGACTATAAATTCACTTGATTCTCAGCACTCATTTTTATCAAAGCAACAAAATCCAATCGATAACCTTGAGGACTCAAGCATATGTGTGAATGCTTTCAGAGCACAGTGATCTGTCAAACCAGTAAAGTGCCACCTTGAACAATACAAGTTGGCTGATCAGGATCAAACACGGGGGCTGTGAGATTGGGGCCCAAAATGAAGATCTGTTTCCAGTATCTGCTGGATTCATCAAGTCCCAGTCCCGTTCTCTACCATGGTGTGATATATCTGATTCCTTACTCAGGAAGTCCTTCTTCTTGGCTACTCATCTGACTTAGGGTACTGTTTATGAGAATTATCTAAAGGTCATGGTGATAGAAATTTAAAACTATGCTCTATCCATATCCAAGCTTCAAGGTTAAACTACTGAGAGGTCAAGCACTAATACTTCTTATCCTTAGATATTCCCTAGGGAAAAAGTTGCTGATGGAAAAAAAAAAAAACATAGAGGAGGAGGTCCTGTTTGTCATTTTTATTAGTCATGGGAAAAATTACCTGCTGCTTCAGTAACTAGGTTATCTTTAGCAAAAACAGTTACCTGAATTTTTTTAAGAGTAAAGAGTCTGCATGAATATTTTGAGAAAAGTGTCTTAAATAGAAAGTTTCTAAGTAGACAGTTGAAGGAAATTTGAAATGTTAAGTGAAGTACCAATAATCATTGTGATTTTCAGTGTACTAGTTTATTTTACCTAATGCTTCAACTCCAAAGGAGGGGGGAAAATGAAGGTTATATACTCAAGATAGCCCATTTCTCTTTATCAACCTAACTTAATTATAAAGCACCATTTTATTTTTGTTTGTTGCCCTCTTAGATTCATTTGGCAAGGTTTCATTTTACCAACATCTACCTCTCTCATATTTTTCTCTTTTTCCTTTGCCCATGCAAGCAGGGCTACATTTATCAGGCAAATCCTGGGTCACCAACCCCAGAAAGGCTAGCATCACCCAGCTTTGGGGGCCTTTTTTTTTTTAACGGTTTCCTACACATAGTCTCAATCTCAAGATATATATCCAGTAACTCAAATAAGAAAAAAAAAAAAACCACTGGGTTCTGTAGTGAAAAGCTCTGCTGTAAAATTCTGTCTACCTAAGCCAGTATTTATGATGTAAGGACATTCTGACTATATGCAGATTGCATCAAGTGAACGCTTAACCCATTTTCTTAAAACAGAAGTGTTCTAACAGTTCCTTTGATTTGGGCTGATTTCACCAGTGGCCATAAAGCCTTCATAGGAATCTCAGACTTTTTGTGAGTCTCTCAGTTAATGTGGATGATTTACTGCCTTGTTCTGGATCATCTATTTCCAGTCTGCTCTCTAATGTTCAGCCAAAAGCAGAGCTCTGTCTTACACTAATTCACAGCCCTTTCTCTGCTGTCCATGAATATGGACCAGGGCCAATGTCTCCGGAACCAGTGAAGCACACTGTAGGCTGATTGGAAAGCAAGCCTGAGCTCCTAACATCCTAAACAATCATCACGGGACCCATGCTCCCCAATTGTGAGTCCCACACCTCTGGGACATTAGAAATTCAAATTCTGTCTTTTGCGCAGAGCAAAAATAGCAAAACTGGCCACTTACCTGATTACTTATCACAGCTGCTATGCTTATTTTCAAGTTAGTTGATTCTAATTTGTTGTAAAGTGCTATAAAACACCTTCATTTAACTGACATCACATAAAATTCAGGGTGATGCTAATTTCTCTTCCAGTAGCAATGCTCATTAAAAAGATGAGTGTCACTGTTTTCTCCCTTCTCCTAACTGTGCACCTGGATTTCAAAAATAAAAATACTCTATACCTGGAACGTGAGCAAAGAACGAAGGGGTTGGTAGGGCTGGGTATGACTTTAGGGCTCCTCACACTTGTGCGGAGAACCCTATACTTACAGGACTCTAGTTTCCAAAGCCCGAGCCTTCTGTTTCCTCAGTGGCCATCAGCTCATTTCAAATCCTTCCCAACTCTCCCTAATAAACCTTATACCCCTAGTTTCCATTATCTTCTTTGAGCTTGTGTCTCTCCTCCCCAGACCTCTGAATCCAGTCCCAAGTGTTTCTGCCACTTGGGAAAACAGACACCAATAATACACACCGAAGCCTAAGGGACTGCGGCCCTCCAACTCCATTTCATAATTCTGTTCCCTAGTTTCACTCTTGGGATTTGAGTACCTGTCAGGAGAAGAAATTTATATATATAACATGTGGCCTGGGGTATGGTAAGCATTGTGCTTTTGCAAATGGCAATCATTTCTTTAACAGCCACATGGAAATGACACTGATGCTCAATACCTCTCTGCATCTGAACACAGAAGAAAAGAAGGAATATAGACCATCCTGGGAGGTCTAGAAGAGGTAAGATGGCAAACCATGCTGATCGAACAAACTAAGCCAGGCCTTGCTCCTGAAAGGTTGTGATGCTCAAATTCTCCACATTTTGCTAGTTAGAAAAGTAACAGTTTTGACTATTTTTAGACTGTGAATGGATTCTGAGTAACTAGTCAAAAGATACCTTATTTTTATCTCCCAGATATCAGCTTATTTCACAACAATCTCATGAGATACTGACGCTCTGGTAGTGGTGAATTAATTCTTTTAATGTGGGCCCATTCCAAACAAAAATATTGGCAAAAGAGGACCAGTGATTACGGCATCTCAGGCCCTCCAATAGTAAGACATTGTGAGATCAAAGTGTGGACTTGGGATACCTGCCGAGGTGATGTCTTCAAGATACTGCTTCATCCAGGGACAACTTGCGTATCTGTTCTGAACACTGCACTGATGCAGAAAGGCAGTACGAAGTAACAAAGGAAGACAGAGCTAATCCAAGCTTAAAGGAGAAAAGGAAACGAGAAGGGAGTGGATTTCATAGGATGTTCCTCTACTACTGATGCAAAATGATGGCTAGTTACATTTTAGAGATTGGCTCAGGGTTTTCCCCTAAATCTTCCAGTTCGTGCCTTCATGACATACACTGAAGCATCATGTACAACCTGAATTCTCCAGCCAGAGGATCTGAGTTCAGGTGCTGCCTCCTGTTTGGAGCTAATAAACTGGGGAGGGTTTAACTCCACCTCTGTGAGCTCCACTGCCTGGTGGAATGTGATATTGACAATGTCTACCTGATGAGATTATTTCAGGTGATTAATTGTGTTAAAACACATGTACTTTCTGCCCTGGACACAATGCCAGTCTTTACTGGTTTCCTCGTCTGTAGTCTTTTCTGATAATTTTCCTCTGTTGCAAGGAGAATCTAGGTCACATATCCTTCGGTACAACATTTCATTTTCTTGATAAAAGTCCGAGTTTTTATGTAGCCTGGCTTCAACTTATTTCCCAGCATTTCTTTTGCTACTTCCTACTCTGATTCTTCCCAGGAAAGACCCCAGAGCTTCACTCACCTCCACATTCCCAGTGCTCTTGCACTGTGTGCTGAAGAGACCTACATAGAGCTCATCTCTCTATCTGGACTAACTTTTGAAACCCAGGGAAAGCTTGGCCTTTGTAAAAGGTAATGCGTCTGTTGTTGTTGTTGCTGCTGCTGGCCTGTGACTTAAACTCAGGGCCAGGGAACTGTCCCTGAGCTATTTTGCTCAAGACTGGTGCTTTACCAATTTGAGACACTTGAGTCATGGCTCCACTTCTGGCTTTTTGGTGATGAATCAGAGATTAGAGTTTTACAGACTTTCCTTCTTAGCCTCCTCAGTAGCTAGGATTCAGGCCTGAGACACCAGCATCTGACTTTCAAAGGTAATGTTTTAAAACATTGATAACTTCTTACCACCTCCACTCTATACCCCAAGTGAGGCTTACACTCTACCAGAGCTGTTCTGAATCCATGTTCATCCCAGCAATCAGCAGCCAGGTAAGCCTGCTAATCTGAAGTCAGACTGTGCTGTTTTTCCATTCAAAGTGCTCAGATGGCTTTCCTGCACAGAACGAGAGTCTTAGGTCCTGACCAGGCCATCACAGCCCACCTAACCGGTCTCCTGGGCTCCATTTCTGACCTCTTAGACCACCATTCTCTTCCTTTCTGTTCCTGCTCCAACCACAACAGCCTCCATGCTGGGTCTTTCACATTCAGTTAGGTCTCCACCAAGAGTCCCTGAACCTGCCAGAAGAGGAAGTGCTCTTCCTCCAGAGCTGCCTTCCTCCCTCTCAGTTTCTGTTCAAATGTCCCTGGTTACCCTATTAATACTGCTCTCCTCTTCCACCCTGTGCATACACTGCCTCAGTTTGTCATTCTCCAGATTTTGTCTTCCTCATCACACCCAGAACATAAGCTCCAAAGAGTGCAAGAAAGCTCTTCTGTTTCATTCACTGCTCTGTTTCTACTACCTGACTCAGTGTCAGTCTGTGAATGTCTCTGAGGCACTACCAACCAGCTGCAGTTGGCAAATATCCTATAGGCTTCTTCCTATAGGCTACTATGCACACAGAAATTTTCATAAAATTGTAGAAGGTTCCAAGATTCTAAATACCCCAGGTTAAAATGCCCTGA